TTATGTAGTAGGTCGGTAAATGAGCAGGCGTATTCCCTGATGGTAAGCAATCAGTGTCGCCCATGGACACCCACAACAACAGAGGAGCTACAACCGCGTTGCCGACCTTTTGGGGAAAACCTAGGGATTTAGAGATTGGGAGAAAGGTAGGGATTGGACCTCAGGTAACCGCACTCACACGACCAAACAACGCAGTAGTGGTTGCACTGGTCTCACTCCAGCCAAGCCGACCCGATTCGTGACACACCATAGCTCTCCCACAATTAACTATTTCAGTTATATAGATATTTTCATTAGTCCAAAAAACAACGACCTGAATTACAAATTTTACCTCAGAAACTAAAACTTACATATTTTATGTATTTATGTAGTATGTACAAGACGTCCGTTCTATAATGGTCACACTTAGTAAGGGCAACGCACTACCCGAATTCAGGTCGACGGTGTACGATCAATCATGAACAGACCATTTCTGTTGGAGAATGTACCTAATGTGTGATCAATCATTGACTCGATGTAGGTTAAGTTAAGAAAGTATATTTAGAATTCCTTTTGGTTTTTCAGGTCAAATTAGGGACCTGAAAAGGTCAGGTGTGACACTAAGTTGATCTCAAGTTAGTTTTTTGGTCTGTCTTTATGTTTGTATGCGGTGGAAAGTAACTTTAACTAGAAAAAAAAAAAATATTTTGTTTGTTACCGCGAACGAAACATTTTACTGTTATTTTCATTTATTAAAAATCAGTCAAAACATAATATATGTACTTCTAGATGATCTTTTTTTAAAAGGATAACGATATAGTTTCTTGCTCATTCTTCTCCATTCGAGTCTACACATTGAAACGAGCACCTAGCTTCACTGACGAACTGACTGACAGACTACTATTCTATTTTGACGTTTCAAAAGTGATTTTGACTTTGACTTTAAACTTAATGGCAAGATTCCATTTCACAAACCTACAATATACATAGGTACATACGTATGTATATACCTACATATTATATATTGCAAGTTATTAAACCACATATATTTTTTTTTAATATTCGGTTACTCGGAACTCTTACTTGTTTGATTCAAATAGCATTCATTTGTTTTCATTGAATGACTACCAGTAGTTCCAACTTCTATTATTAGGAGCAAAGGAAATTGGATTAGGGACAAGAAAAATTGTTGACATTTTCCAAGCTACGATTAGCTTAGTTCATTTTAGTTCACTCATTGTACATTTTTATAGGGGTTTATTTAATATACTAAACTAGCGACCCGTCTCTGCTTCGTACAGGTGTAATCCTGATACTCTACTATTAAATGGATGTTATTATAATCTATACTAATATTATAAAGAGGTAAAATTTGTAAGTTTGTATGTATGTAGGGGGTAATCCTTGGAACTACTGGTCGGATCCCCAAAAATATTTCACATATTGATAGCTACAATGTTCCCGAATGCTATAAAACATCACGCTACAATAAAATAGAGCCGAGCAGCGAGTGAAACAGCTCGGGAGTAGCTAGTTATACCTACATTAACTAACCTCCTAAATTACTCTACACCAGAATCCGTTACGTAGTTTTGACGATTTAAGCATATTTATTTGTATATACGTTATTGTACACAATATTAAAAATTTTACAAAGACCAGGCTTACTTACTGTAGGGTGTACTATAGACGGTCTTATCATACAGGGTGATTTACTCTAGACAACCTTTTGACGGAAATTTAAAAGCAACCTAGGTATGGGCAGCTTAGTGTACCTACAGTAAATTGGTAATAAATACTCATAAAATACATATGCATATATGACGGCGCTGGCGACTGATAATGGATTATTTTTAATAACAAAGAAGATTCTATTGTCTTTACAGTTGATTGTTAATCATAACTCAATTTTTAGTTTATTGGTAACATTATTATGAGCGGGTAACCCCGAATAGGGTAGTAAGTGTCACTACAAGGAATGGCAGCGGGCATCCGGTTGACAGCTGCCAGCCGAAGTGTACACGCTAACCTATTGGCTCAAAATCTCATTCCATCTCATTGATTGTGTGATTGTGAATAAAATAGCGCGGAAACCAAATAATACAAGTGTGCCTTTATTTTTAATTCCGGACGTTATAACGCCCACGATAGAAAGTGATAACCATGACCGCCACGAGGCTCCTTCTGACGCTCCCACATATACATAGCATATAAATGTATATAGGGACCGAGAAAAAAACATTCATATAATCAACTAATGAATTGAAATCGACTTCAAATTTGGAATTCACAAAAATATTTTGACTCTCTGAAACTCTATGACTACGAGTAAAAATAATTGATTTATATTTCTATCCATTCCAAATTTAAAATAGCAAAAGAAGATATAACTATATTAAACCTGTCAAAAACTAATTAACCTAATGAAAAGTGATCGTGTAAGCCCGGGAACGGATTTAATGGGAACCTTTTAAATCCTAGTTTAACTGTGATTAACTTTAATTAATTGAAACTGATTTATTACCAAGACTGGGGCGTGAATTGGTTTAAAAATGGAGTGGTTACTCAAATGTATACTAATATTATAAAGAGGTAAAATTTGTAAGTTTGTATGTAGGGGGTAATCTTTGAAACCGCTGCACAAAATTCTTTCACTAGACAGATAGCTACGATGTTCCTGAGTGCTATAGACTATAAAAAGGCAACATCACGCTACGATTAAAAGGAGCCGAGCAGAGGGTGAAACCGCGCGAGAGTAGCTAGTAAAATATATTTAAAGTGTGAGAGAGTCATGCTTCGACACGAATGGGTACGTCTCGACCGAAGTGATACCAAGACCTCACAGAAAACCGTACCAACCTAGCTTTTTGTTTAATCATGTGAATGAGGTTACTGAAGGCTCACACCCGGTTTCTGAAAGGCTTGTCAACGCTAAAATTAACTAATCTCCTGTTAAATCTCTTGTCAAGTGATGATTTGACAAGAGATTAAATTGATTTTAACATTGATCGGCCTTTCGGAAACCGGCTGTTAATCTTTTCACTCTCTAAGTACCTAAAACGCTTATCCACAAAAGACCGGCAACGACACTTGTTTGGGTTTGGATTTTTAGTCAGTAAGAGTCTGACACTCTCTCTCGCCCCACCCTGGGCGGGAGAAGCAATTTGATGATTGTTCCCTGACAAAAAAAAAGGCATTTCCTACCAGTCGAGTTTCGGGTGATGCAGAGATGAGCCAACGGTTGGTGCAAGAAGCAAGCAACCAGACTTAATTTTATATAAGTCTACCTACTCTCACGCGGTTTCACCCCCCTGCTCAGCTCCTACAGATCTTAGCGTGATATTTTATAGCCTAAAGCCTTCCTCGACAAATGGACTAACCAACATAAAAAGAATTATTAAATTCGAACTAGTAGTTCTGGACATTAGCGCGTTCAAACAAACTCCAGCTTTATAATAAAAAAAATAAATAAATATGGAAGTATAGATACGAGATAAATACACATCTGTAAAAACTTATAAGAAATTGAATTTTATCAAAATCGGCATAGAATGTGAATGTTCATTTTTAAACTGAATAATTATAGGTTTTAGTCAATGACGATATAACCTCATACTCTTTGGTTTTAGTTGTCATTGTGCTAGAAAAGTAACAGTAAAACTAAATAAATATGATACGAATATATATAACATTGCACCAAATTACTGGACAGTGATTGTCCAGCCGTGACCATGAACACTGGTCGGTGTGGTCATGACGTCACCACATGTTCTCTATTTGAATGTTGTATTATTATTGTTTTATAAACAAATGTTTCTTTTTTATTTTCGGCCAATGTTTTATTGGTTATTTCTTTTTTAGCACTGGTACTCTCGGTTCGATAGTAAATAAAGGGCTTGACTTGAGTGCAATGCCATGAAGACATTGCTAAAATATTTCCTAATTTATCTGAAATATACTATTTCACCCTGATTTGTTATTGTTCTAACCAATTATTAACGTTATTCAAAATATGTTAATATAAACAGTTTACTATTCTAAAAAACGAGAACCATGAAACTTCATCTAATGATTTCGTAATCTGCAAATCAAAATATAAAAGAGAAAAAAAATCATTTTTCAAAAGTGAAAAGAGAACTTAGCTGCTTAAAATGTCTACGGGCGTCCTAATTACATAAATAAATAAAAACAAAAAACTACAACGATTCGCCTTGAATTTAGTAAAAAGAGAATCTTGTTTTTTAATCGTCTTATTTTTGTGTTTATGGTCAATCCATTAGCATGGCCAGTGCTTACATTTTACGCTTTTTATATCAAACATTTCGAAAATATAATTTCACTTCTTTCGAAACAAATAAAAAAATAAAAATGCCTATAGAAAATGTTCTGTTTCTTTTGAAAATCAGTTTAAAAAAAAGTCATAACAGGTGTTTAAAAAAATTTTAAATATCGACTATAAAATGGTTTGGATGGTATTTAAGTACCTATGTATATTCTAGTTACAAAAATACTTAGTTAAGTATCAAATGTAATGTAAGTAATTAGTTTTTTTGGAATTTGGCATTGCTCGTATAATAAGAAGAACATAATAACTGATTTTAATTTGCGCGAACGAAAACAATGAACTTAACAAAAAGTTCCACTCAAGGAGATTCAACTCATTTAATGCGGATCAATTAAAAACGTTATTAAGTATTGAATTAATAGTTAATTTTGATTTAATCAAGGTAATATAAGAATACTTAAGTACCTACTTAATTAGTTTTCGGATATTTTTATTGCAATTGTTAGATAAGGTCTTATTCGATCCTATAAAAACAAGTGCTAGCCATATTAAAGGCAATAAAACAATATGTCGAAAGGAAAAAAAAGGAATTTGCATCACATTGAACGTTATTAAAGACTCATGTAGAATTAACTGCACGAAAAACAAATTTCCTTCGAGCTCCTATCCTAATAAATCCTCAGCCCACACGCTATTACACATTACGAAATTAATCACGTAGTTTTTTGATAAAAACCTTGTAATTTTACTTCGAAGAGTAACACTTAAAAACCTCTGTATCAGATAAATGTCACTTTGTTTTTTTAATTCACTTCACTGTTCACTTTTTTTTTGTCGCGGGCAAAGGCACAGCGCGCGTTCTGCCTCGTTTACGGCCAGTTGTAGACTGAGTCGTGGAGGGGCGCCCGCCCTACTGTTTAGGCCGCGTACACACGATACAGTTTTATTGAACTGAAACATGCTATTGAAGGAAAATATCCCATTTTATTACTCAAAGGATTGATTGTTTTACATGAAAAGTTTAAATATTATTGTGTGACTGTGTGTTTTGTTAAGAAATTACGTTTATGTTGAACTCTTTGGCGGTGACCCGTGCTTTTTTATATTCGGTTTGGAAACTCCAACCAATCAATACTTTTCAGTACATTACTACGTTTAATGGATACGTGGATTACAACATTTCTGTAGTTCATAATACGTAAATTCGTCCATCCATTTTCTGTATATTTTTATTTCTATGTCAAGATTTTCCTCTGTGAACCTTTGACCTTTTCAGTTGGAAGCGACTTCTAAGAGTTGAGACGAGATTGGCTTCGTTTCATTTGCAAAGAAAGATACAGTAAAATTCTACAATCATTTCTATCTACGTCTTTGATAGATGTTAGCTACAACAGTTTTAAAATGATTCAGTGTTACCCTGTTATATCAACCACTAATTTTGAATTTAGAAACTCTATTTTGATGCTATTTTTTTTGGACCAATACAACATAAACGTCTTAGTTAAAAAGACATTCAAATGATTTAAAAATAGAACTTAATCATAAAATGCTATAAGTCAATCCACGTCCACTAGCCAGGGCCCCGCTTTTCTTGCGGGTGCATTTTTGACATCTGGCAAGTACCATTGTGACTTTAAGTAGGATTTATATAAAGTGCTTTTTAAGTATATTTAGACATCACTGAGAAACGGTGAAGAAAGGGAACATTATAAGGAAATCTGGACTTATAATGTTTAATTATATTGTTTGAAGTTGTCACTGAGCTATGATAAAGCGTGATGATTACTGACTTCTCCATTTAGGAAGAGGCCTCTGCTAGAGCAAAGGCCTTTTCGGTCTCCGTAGACGGTGAGCACATATAGGCCTGATGTGATGTACGTCCATAGATATGCAATATAAGTTTCATATTCATGGCAGACATCATTTTGTAATCCATTTTTTAATATTCCGATCTGAATTACAAGGTATTTGCTTATAATATCTTTCTACGCAAAAAACTAACCTTTACACCAAAATGGACTTAATTGCGTAGTTTCCTAGGTCAAAAATAAATTAATTCGACGTTTCAATACAATAAAATATTGAAAAAAAACTAAACTTTTATTCATCGATCGATCGAGACACTAAGTTTTACATTTTTTAGCTAATTGTTAGGAAATAAGTAAGCTATTTGACGCAAAAATGTTATGACGCCAAGCTCAGTTTTTCATACAAATTTCATAGGAAAGTATCGTTTTTGACGTTTGGATAAAAGTATTGAATTTGACTAGTTAGAAACTACCGTATTGTCAAAGCAATATGTACCTTAAAATAATGCAGAAACGAACAAATGCGAAATAAAAAAGGGTCGATTTGACATATTCATGCAACCTGGACCCTGCACTGGCCACTGCAGCTGACTGCACATGAATGTAGACCAGTTGCAGGCAGCCAACAGAGCGCATCGCGAAGTTACACAATCAACAAAGTACATATATACATACTCATACATAATACATGTATGTATGCAGTTGCGTCAACATATGTACCGCGTGATTTTGTTTTAGGTGCGTTCGAAACCTGGCTAGTACCAATGTGACTTTTTCCGAGTTATATGTACTTTCTTTTATGACTATTTAGACACCACTGACATACGGTGAAGAAAACCTGGACTATTAATTTCGAATTATACGTTTAAAATCACCAATCCGCCTTGAGCAAGCGTGGTTAATGCTCAAGCCTTCTCCATGTGAGAAGAAGCCTTTGCTATGCAGTGGGCGCTTATAGGTTAATGATGTGATGTGATCAACTTAACAGTCATAGGTTATATTATAATTTATCTTCCTGTTTCATTGACTATGGACTGATTTTTCAATAGTCAGAGGAATAAAATTGTTGCCGTCACTGTCTTATACAAACATTCTGTCGCGACAGCATCATAATTATTTCCCAGATAACTTTAAGCTAACCACTAAATAATCAGCCCTTACAAAACTAATTGAATGAATGAATTACTAAAAGTAATTTCAATAAAGAACAATAATTCGTAACAAAATATCTTGGCTTCCACAAAGATGTTAATAAGATCAGAATATTGTACGCGTGTCTACTTTCTTATTATTGTGTTATTGAGGATATATAATCATATAATGAAAGATCGCACTCTTGAGATAATGCTATACAGAACAATATCGAATCTTCTCCTACTTAGTAAGAAACTTAAGTGTGAGACAGACGTGTGATAGTGATACCGGAGTGATACCACGGCTTCACAGAAAACCGGCGTGAACTGAACATGAACTACAGCGTTGTGTTTCGCTGTGTAAGTAGAGTCACTTGAGGCCCAATCCTTGTTCCCCTCCGCTAATGTGAGAATAGAAGTTTAAGAAAAAAAAATGAGAAATCTACAGTTGATTGTCCCAGGTCAGGATCTAAAGTGTTTGTACATCGGCTAGCACGATAGTTGGACAATCAGTTTGATTCCCGCACGTAACAACTCTTGTGTGATTCGGAAATAGTTGTTCCAGGTCTGTGTAGAAGAAATAACAAGTGCGGGACAACATTTAAAAATAAAAGGGAAGCTGTATATGCCAACTATAACACATAAGACAACGGTAATACCATATGATACGTTAAGATGAATATGATATTGTTGTGAAAAAAAAACACAAAAAAAAAACAGGCAAAAAAATTAACATAAGTGTGGGAGAGCCATGCTTCGGCACGAATGGGTCGGCTCGACCGGAGTAATACCACGGCCTCACAGTAGACCGGCGTGAAACAACCATAGCGTTGTGTTTCGCCGTATGAGTGAGGTTACCGGAGGCCCAATCCTTCCCCGCCCCCAATCCCTCCTCAATCCCTAAATCTTGAAATCCCTAATCCCTAAAAGGTCGACAACGCACTCGTAAATCCTCCGTTGCGGGTGTCAATGGGCGGGGCTGATTGCTTACTATCAGGTAATCCGTGTGCTCGTTTGCCGGCCAATTACATAAAAAAAAAACTAAAGGCATATTAAACCAAACAGACTATACAATACAATGGAACTCAACCTCCTTGTCTTGCATAGGATCAAACAGCCAATGACAAATGTAGCCAAAATATTTTTTTTTAAACAATGGTGTTGATAAAACTTTGCCTAATTGAGCAACGTTATTAATGAGTGACGCATGTGGCAGACTAATGGAAAATCAATGGCGTATTGACAACATAATATCAAACACGATGTATAAGGTTACATTACCTACTTACGATCGCAATTATGATCATAAATAGTCACTTTTTTGGCGATGGTTGGATTTTTTTAAACGTTGCCCCATTTAGTGTTTCTGGTGTCATTACGAGACTGTCCTCGGAGTTTGTTTCGGCATTTCTTCTCAGAGTAGTCAGATAGGAAATGCCGGCTTTATTTAGTTTTTCACATATAATTTGACGAGTAAAAGTGCCGTTTTATGGCCTATTTGCAAAAAATAATTCATTGTTTCATTATTACAAATATACAATTTCACATACACATGACAACCAGACCCGAAAAAACAATTTGTGGATCACGCCAAGCGTTGTTCCATGCGGGAATTGAAACCGCAACACGTTGCGCGGCAGCCAGTTGCCCAGCCACCGCGCCAACCGTGCAGTCAATATGTCAAGCAAAAGATCTCGGATTCGTTTGGTTGTAAGCCAAATGTTATTTTGTTTTTGGTTTTGGTAAAATTCTAATATAGGAATGAACTCTGCCCAGTGTATAGTAGCAATAGGATCATCACTAGAGAAATTACATTGTTTTTTATGGGATAGGTCGGCAAACTAGCAGACGGATTGCCTGATGGTAAGCAACCGGTGCCGCCCATAGACCCTCGTAATACCAAAGGAATAACTACTTACAAGTACGTTACCGTCCTTTTGTGGGTGTGAGTAATTTAATGATAGGATTTCTGGGGATTGAAGATGTGGGGACCAATTGGGCCTCCGGTAACTTTACTCACAAGGCAAAATTCAACACAGTGGTTGTTTCACGCCAGTATTCTGTGAAGCCGTAGAATCACTACGGTCGTGCCAACCCATTCGCATTGAAGCACGGCTCTCTAATTATACATATCTATGTGCATTAGATACCTATAAATTTATTCAACAAAATTCATGCGATTAAACCTTCATTACTGCAATTCTATCAAACTACATTTATCAAGATAAGAAAGCAGAAAATTGGTAATACAAAGCTTGAAACACATTCTTAATTAACACGCTCAAAATGAGCCAAGCTTTTAGACTAAGTTACTAGAGTCTAATACGTATAATACAAACTTACTTCTCACAGTCATCACAGGTTTAATTTTAAACGCGTAACTAAATAACCCAGAAAATATTATAAACCGGCACATCACACACTCATTATCATAACAATACCTAATTAACGATAACAATTATAATCTTTATCACCAACTAAAATACGACCACTCACGCAAATACTATGAATGAACTGAAACCAGCGCTACACTGAAATCTCACCCTTAAAAATTCAGAACATAATACGAAAAACAGAATTTCTATCTACGAAGTATTTAGGTTGAGAATCGCTTGGCAGAGTGTTGAGTTATGACGTTTTGTTATAAGTGGGTTTGGTTGGAAAATCCGTAGTGAGTCATACGTACTGAAAACTCGCCAGGAGGGTGGTGGGGAGAATGGGGTATGATGGCGCCTGTTACCCCTTACATATTTCTTATTAATCAGGTGTAAATAACGAAAAATGGGTATATTGAAGGTAATTTTACATGGTGTTTTTCTCCATGGGAAATTCATTAAGGTTTTATTCGCTTTCTCGAATACGGTGTTAGGTTTTCAAATTAGGGTAACACGGGTAACATGAATTTGTACTACGATAAATCGATTTAAGTTCTTGAAATAAATTTTGTGAGTGGTACTTAATTGATTACTTCCTATTTGCAGGGTTTTTTTCGAAGGTGTGTTTATTTTCTATGTTTCTGGAATGTTCAGATCTACTTTCTATCAGTTACAATGTAGTTATAAGTAAAATTTTGATGATTATTTTTACTAATATTCGTTATCGTTGAAAAGTTTTGCCTACATAAGAAACTTATTGAAAATTACTGACAATTATTGATAATTACAGACTGACTTTGCAAAATTTCTCAAATAAGTAAGTCATGCAAGTAAGTCGTGTCAATTAATAAATTTAATCTCAAAAATGAATTTAACTACAAAAAAAATTAAACATTCGTAAGAAACCAGGAAAATCACGGGAATTCAATCTATAGCCATTCATCCATGAAATAGATGATTAGTTTATGCGTGTCAAGGATATTAAAATGTATCTTACTTTAATCTTTACAACCCTAAGCGAACGCCGGCGTTCGCTAACATATTGTTCTTCGATTGTGTCTCGAATTACCAAGGTTAAGAAAGGTTAATTAAATTTTTTTTATAGGTCCTTAAACTATTTAAGTATTATATTTTGTATACAAAAATAACAATAAGGATTTCCTGAAAAAAAAAATAAACACAATGGTATACTTTAGGTACTCGGAAACGGAACTTAGGACCTCACGCACGAACGTCACGTTCGTGCCCGCTAAGCGACGAGGAAATGTAAGTAACAAAAAAAAAACAAAATGGAGATAAATTTGACTAAGCTAATGTTATTGAAAGAGAAAAATAAAGATTTTTTAAGAGGCAAGCTATCTTATAACCAATTAAGACAAATATACTTCCAACATTGTTTAATCAAAAGAAACGCAATTAAACAATCTGTGAAAGAGAGGTGGTTATTTTTTATGATCGGAAAGATCATCAAATTTCTTCTCTCGCTATAGGTGGGGCCAGAGATTGTGTCAACTTATACTGACTTAAATCCACCCCATTCCTTCTCCTGCTCTAGGCCGAGGTACATTATAGCGATTGACCCCCAACCCTGGCTGAACGTCAACCGGGATTACGGGTTAGGTCATGACTTAGGTACATCTGTTTTCATCACAGGACTGTTCCTGGAGGAACAGAACTAAATAATAGTTCAGAAAATTTTAATAGTAATGAACTAGAATATAAATAATATAAACGCATTAATGACTAAGTACGCCTATGTCAAAATGGACAAGTCCAACGCCATTCAACACAGACTAAACTTAATAACAAGAATAACAAAATGGTAGGTACACTTAACGATCAATTGAGAGAAGAATTCAACAAAAAAACGTCTATGTATGTATGTTTGTAACAACAATAGTATGAAGTCGTGACCCATAATAAAATTGTTTCATTACGCAAGTCGACCGCCAAAATAATGCACCGCCACATACTTACTGACGTGCCTTTCTGCGCTTGAGTTGAGTTTAATGAGTTCAAGATATAATCTGATAATAAAAACTATTTATTATTTGCCTCTAACTACTCAAGATTTTATCATTGGTATAGTTGTTACGGGCGCATATACTAAAGGTAGGGTATTTTTGTATCTCAGTCTCAGTCGCAAAAGAGCAGACTGATTACCTGAAGGTAAGCAATCGACGCCGCCAATGGATACCCGCAACACTTGAGGAGTTACGAGTGCGTGGGGATTCGTAGCTTTAGGGATTGAGCTATAGGTGTTTGGTATGGGAATTTTTAAGCTTCCACATGCCTACTCTGGAATTAAGACTAGGTAGGGTAATTGGTGCGTCCTCAATTATTTGGGAATGGAAAAGTAGGATAATGATCTTTGCTTGTATGTTTCTTTGGGTACCATCTCATTCCAATATCAATTCATGTCCGGAATGACTCCAGAATGACATGCATTGATTAAACTACGTCAGAAGTTCTGCTTTTCAGCTTTTAACTGGTCCAATTAAAGCCAAATTCCTACTAAACCACAAAGGTACTTTGAAACATGAGAATAGAGTAAGACTCTGTCAGTCTGTTCGTTAGTGAAGCCAGGTGATTGTTCCAAAGCGGTATGTTATCTAACATTAAAATTAGATACTACTGTAATTATTGTTTTATTGTAACAACCATTAATCTATTTAGGTGACCTAAAACATTAATGAAAAAGAAAAAAAATGACCAGAAGTAGGTACTTGAATCTTTAATACAAAAGTGCTAGAGAATTATAATGAACGTTGCAGAATTTGTCAAAAATATAGCATTATGTAGAAACTGGTCCATGTTTCTATTCAAATATACTCCAGTATTCTTCAGAAAGAAGGGAAAAGAGAAGCAATTCGTTCCAAGAAACAAAATCAGACGTTCAAATAAAATTAACAAGTAAGAAAGCTGTGGAAATATTTCGAGCCATTACATTATCCTTGTGATATTGTCGACAGAATTCTCAAAGGAGCTAGCGTGCTAACCACAGTAAGGTAACCACTAACACGAGCTAAACCTATATACAGAAACCTCTTCATTCCAAACATTCGTGACCTTTGATGACCTACCTTGTGACGTACGAAGAAAGAGACAAAACATACACGCAGACACAGCAAATTACTTAAGAAATTGTACTCAGGCAGACAGAGATAGACACCAAATGAAATGACATGAGCAAAGAAAAAATTTTTTAGTTGACGCACACACGCGTTTCATGAGGTGTTACCAGGAGTTCATAATGTGTAGGCGTCAGTCCACGAACTATGTATGAATCAATGCAAGGCCGAGTGAGTAATAAACCTGCATAAAAGGTAACAATGAGAAAATCACAGCTGATAATGACTTTAAACATTTATAGAGAACTTTTTAGGCTTTAATCTAAACCTTTCTCTTTGACCTTAATGACCTCCAATAAAAAGTAAAGAGACAAAGGTACGCAAAACAGTGACTAAGTAAAAATTTGAAATTACCAGGAGTCCATAAAATGTAGGCGTTCAGAATCTATGAATCTACAATGCACCAAGGCTGCGTCAGACGATAGCGGGGGTGGGAGGGACGCGGGCGCGGGCTGGCGCCTAGATGTCTGCCGATAGGGCTGCCTCGCGTGACTCCGCCGGACTATTTCGGGTGAAATACGAACAGGGCTGCCAGTTATTGGTATTTAGCTAGTTGATATAAATTTTCATAGATCTGGCATTCGAGGTAGCAATGAGTAATATCAATCGATTTATTTGTTACTGCTCTTTGTTATGTAATGTTTACGTATGTTATTTAATTAGCTAATTAGGTACCTTAGCATCTAATTACAGGAACCAAAGATTTCAATTAAATATGGTATGGGTTTCTTGTTTGAATTATTGGCTTTAAAATTTTAGGCACAGTTTACTCATGCACTTTTGTAACACAGATTCTACAAACCCCTACTACGTACGTATGCATATAATTGGTATATAGATCAACCCCAACATGCTTACCTAATCCTTTGCAGATACTTACGTAAATAGTTCAGCAAGAAGAGAGCTCTACTCGTGCTTGTAACAACTAACAAGGCATCCTTATGTCGAGTACTCTTTTTGTCATTACAGCGCCGTGTCGCGGCTTGGTGCCGTCAAAACAGTGACGTCATAAAATGGCGGCATTAGCCCGAACGTTGACACGACGGATGCCGAAAAGTGACGGAAACGCACGAAGGAAGATGGATTACGAAAATAAGGACCTTGGCCCGATGAAGGTTGGGAATTTGGTCCTTTTATCTTATTTCGTGAGAAAAGTGCTTTATTCTGAATAGGCATAGTAACGCCCTTGCCTCTGTTTCGTTATAAACTCAAAGTAATTGAAGGTAGACCGATTACTTTGAATGTAATGTAGCACAATATGTAACTTAGGCTTCACTGATCGAATTCGAGACCCATTTTCTTAGTGGTCGCTTTTATTTTGTGGCCAAACAATCAGATAACTACAAGCAAATTTAAACCTTAACAATATTAAAGTTACGTGTGTTTTAGACGTAGATCATCACAATGTATTTTCTATTGTGTCTTATATATACATATCATCATTTTCATCATCAGCCTATAAAGTGTTCACTGCTGAGCAAAGGCCTCTTCTCACACGGAGATGGTTCGCGCATTATTCACCACGCTTGCTAAATGCGGATTAGCGATTTCAAACTTATGCAGTATGCCTGTGGTGTCTCAATTCAGTCAATTATAGAAAGTACACATAACTCTGAAAAAGTCGTATTAGTACTTGCCAGGTTTCGCACCCTCATGCATGAGAAGTGGCCAACCACGGCAGTCGCCCGGCTTAATTAGTCCATTTGAACAGATCCTTAAGTGACCAAAACTATTAAATTTGGAACAAATGTAAATACAAGAATTTTGTTAACAGGAACAGCTGACGCACAAATAGTTTGAAAATACATTCGCGTCCCTTTTTTAACGGCAAAATAATAACATGTTTTTCACCACAACAAGGGTAGGGGTCATTGACATCAAGATTCTAGATAAGCTAAACTTTTGCAAAAGTCAATTGATACGATCGGGGCGCAGTTAACGCATGTTGCAAACAAACCAAGGGGTGTGACATTGTTTTAATGGGGATTATGGGGTAAAATTACCCTAAAACGGGGTGGTTGAAATTATGTGTGCCTTTAATGTGGTGTCAAAATTGTTCGGGGTAGGAAAGGGCTTTTATTTCTTTTTTGAAGACTAATTGATTAACTAATAACATTCTGTCTCGTTAATATGGCTGATTGTAAATGCCTGTCTTGGGTACGTAAATGAGTTTTTAATTTTGTAATATTAATAAGTGTTTGGTTTATACCTATTCGGGAACAATAAAGATGATAAATAGGTACTTAAACTAGTTTATCTACTGACTAGTTTTTTCTACAAAAACTTTGCCCAACACTAGAGTTTTTTAGTGTCATGTGTGCGTATATAAACATACAAATTCACACACACTGCCCAGACACGAAACAACAATTTTTGGATTACACAAAGTGTTGTTCCTGTTGGAATTCGCTACACATTGTGCAGTAGCCAGTTGCCCAGCCACAGGGCCAACCATACAGTCAAAAATTGAATTAAATACGCTATACCCTTCTCCCCTTCTTTTAACTAGCCAAATGCCATAAACGCCACAAAAAAAGTAGACAACGGGGTCCGTTCCAAAATCCTCGTCAACCAAACTAATACTAATATTAAAAGCAAATAAGTTACGAAAATGGTTCGTGTTAGTTAGAATGTTGCATAGAAAGGTCTATAATATGGTTAGTCTGTGAAAAAACAATGGCTATCTTATCGTGCTTCCATATCTAACACCATACTAACGATATAGGCTAATATAGTGTCCACTTGCCCGGACATAGGACCCCTAAGTGCCTCCTGTTTACCCATCACTTACGTTACCTACATGAGAGCTCTCTAAATAAGGTCCAGATCCTCGCTCAGGTAACAATTCTTTCTGATTTATTTAATTAGCAGCTCAGTTAGAGCTCAACTTAAATAATGGCTAGAAACTACTAACCAATGTAGATGGAAACAGTTTGTAGAAATTTAAAGTTAGTTAAGAACAAAGAGAGACAGAGAGACAGAAAAGAAAAAAAATGCTTTGAGAACATTTTTTTCTTAACGGTTATATCAATGCCTTAACCATGTCCAAGAAGAGAATGAAATTGTCACTGACCTATGAAGCTGGCCTCATCCTGGCGGTCATGTAGCGCGTGCATGACGAGGGCGGCGAGGAGCGCGGGGCGAGCCGCCGGCAGACCTGGTGCCAGGCCACGCAGGGACACCGGCGCTGCGCTCAGGATCGCGCCGCTCAGCATTCCCTAGCGCGCCACCTTGAACATTCCTTGCCGCTTCACCTGGAACAAACATTACTTATCTAAAATCTCGTGCTAGCCCGGAGATTAAGGCACCTGCGTCTCGTAATGTGGATCTTACTCGTTCTTCTCCATTCGAATCTACAATTTGGAACGAGCACCTAGCTTCACTGACAAACAGACTAGCAGACTACTATTCCATTATGACTTTCAAAAGCACCTATAAATAATTTTGACTTTGAATTGGTTGAAACCTATGCAAGTATCACTGTGGCGTTCGTCAATTTCCTATATGTTTTCTAGATATGAATAACCATAGTTACTGTTTGGAGTTTGGACAAGTTATTAAACCCATCATAGTCACTGAAAAAGAAACGAATATTGCTTATACCTTTTAGGTTATTCACACTACATAAATGTCGTTCACAATAGCCTTCCTATCATCAAAAGAAAACGTTCACATCATCCAAAATAACCTTTTAAACCACACTAAAACCTAACTGCATATCTTCAACGAAATATCATAACCGTCTAGCAAGTCTGAAAAGTACTTTTTCACGCCTCACCACCCGAGGGAAGGCGACAACATAATTTAAACTTTATGTTTCCTCCCTTTACGAAGATTTTCGATAAAAACTGAATTTAACGTTTCTTTCACTTATAAGATCCCTTAAATAACCATTTGGTGGTTGATTGCCAGCAAATTATCGGTTGGTAACGACTTCTGTTTTGTTAAGATTTTTCATATTAAACTTAGCTTTGACCATTCAAGTTCTGACTTAGCGGTATGATACTGGATGCATGTGGACATGTGCACACATATAACATACATATGTATACCTACCTATGTACTATAGCACTTTGACAACGTATGACTACGCCTTTCAGTATTCTTATTTAAGTGTGGGAGAGCCAAGCTTCGGCACGAATGGGTCGGCTCGACCGGAGTGATACCACGGCCTCACAGAATACGGGCGTGAAACAACCCACAGCTTTGTGTTTCGCCGTGTAAGTGAGGTTAACGGAGGCCCAATCCCTCCCCCTCCCCTATCCCTTAACGATCCTTATATCCCCTACCCCTACCCGTCTGCTCGTTTGCCGTATAAAAAAAAACTCTGAAAATCTTGTTTCATTCTTTTTTCTTGTAATTTTTTTGTCGTAGTTGGGTTTTAGTTTTTAAACTTTTTTTTAGTTAGTAAGAGATTGACACACCCTGCCTCATCCTGGAGGGAAGACAATTTCTCTTTTACAAAAAAAAAATTACCATTAAGGGAAGAAGGAACAATTAATTTATTGTTCTATTGGATTCACTTAGTAGTCTCATTTAAGTATAGAGTGAGACTAGCCTAGCACTGGCAAACATTTCCGAAGTCCGCAATCCTACTGCGCTTCCTAACTCGATTTGTTTTCCCCGGAAATCGAACCCTACATCCCTTGCTCTCAGCAATCTCGTCAATAATTAACCATAACGTAAGCTAAAATAAAAACAACAATGTAGCTTCAAAAACAAAAATAAGAAGCTAGAACAAAACAAATCAATAGTCCCATCGGACAATCTATTAATCAAACTATTGTTTTAGTAGTCACGGCTATTGTTTTGATAAGATGTTCCATGGTAACCATCGAAGTTATAATAAAATGAAAAAATACTTTACATAAAATATTGTTATACAATGATTACCAAAATCGATACTTTTTTCCTAGAAGTTTCATTAATTTATCTATAATAATATTAACATTGTGGTGGAGTTTATGGCGACCGTTACCTATGCACGAGCCCTCGTTCCGCGGCGCCTCAAAGAGCTAATAGACCAGCACAGATGGGCCCTAATGAGCTGATGTTCAGCCGGGTTGTGGGGTAAGCGCAATGAGTCACCGCGACCTCGGCCCAGAGCAGGAGAAGGAACAGGGGGGTTATTAGTCAGTAAGAGTCTGACACTCCCTCCCGCCCGGACCTGGGCGGGAGAAGCCAAATGATGATTTTCCCCTCACAAAAAAAAACCCATGCTTGATTGTTGCCAGCTTGTTCAAAAGCTGGCAAGTCCCAATGTGACTTTTTCCAAGTTATATGTACTTTCTATGATCATTTAGACACCACTGACATATGCTAAAGGTCAACGTGAGGAAACCTGGACTTACAATTTCTAATTATAAGTTTGAAATCGCCATCGTGCATTGAGCAAGCGTGGTGATTAATGCTCAAACCTTCTCCGTGTCAGAAGAGGCCTTTGCTCAGAAGTGGGTACTTATGGGCTGATAATATCGTAAGCGACCTGGACTGTATGTAATCATCCATCCATCTCTTCATATCCTTTAGGGTCAACCACTATTCTACTTATTTCAAAAAACTTTGAACAGTCACCTACACATATTCCGACCTCGAGTTACATAAATAAGCACTAGTGTCTAAACTAATCCCAGCGTGACCTAGAAATCTATCTTCCCACTCATTGTCTGAACAAAAGATCAAAAGACACCGGCGCTAATTAACGTGCTTGACATTTTGTAACCTGACACAAAAGAAGCGGCCATCTTGTTTTAGTTGGACAACAGAATTGTGCTTTGATAACATCAGATTGATCCAGCGACTAGTTGATTAAGAAATTGATTATTTTTGAAAGAATTTCTTATAGTGAATGTAAGTCAAAATCTGATTTTTATTTTAATTATAATGTTGTTTAAATTATCCAGTTTTAAAGCCATGAGTATAAATGGGGAGGTATGGAGAGGGAGAGGGAGACCAAAGAAAATATGGATAGATTGTGTGAGAAGTGATATGGAAGACAGAGGAGTTAGTGATAGCGTGACGGGTGACAGGACAGAATGGAAAAAAGAACATATTGCGCCGACCCCAAATAAAACGGGACAAGGGCAGGGAGATATAGGAGCAGGAGCTATATATATAGCGCAAATCTAATCAGTGTATAAACGTTCACGTTATATCCCTAAAAATGACAATTTCAAAATGACTACCTACGGAAAATGATTTTTGCCAGTAAAGTATTTTTATTTTTAATCTCTGTCTTTCCTGAAGTAATATCGGGGGAATCCTTGCTAATCCCATTAACCGGCCACCCCCTAGGGAGGGTGAATAAATCAATGACCCACCTTATCAAACCCTATACCTTCTGTTTTGTCCGCCCTACGCAAATCTGTTTATATTTTTTTATTTCATACATTTTTGTTTGCTTAATTGAGCTTTTATTGAAAATAAAAATTGCTATCCTTCTGGCATTATAACTGGTTAAATTGAGTACTTTTTTTTAAATATCGGAAAAGTTACTTTTTTCTATGATTTTGGTATGTAACATAACCGCAACATATTATGACGTTACAATATTTTTACGTCAAATTACATTATAATTTCTGAAATAATTGCTAAATAGCTTTAAGGAAGTATATCGTCAATTCAATGAGTGAAAGCAAGATAAAATATTTGAGAGGGTATACACCATAAAATGCCTTCTTCACCGCCCCTTAGTTCTCACTCCAAGAAGGATTGTCAAATTCTTTTTAACTCAAAATTCTACTTCCGGGGTTCCGGGTTAAGCGCAATGAGTCACCGCGGCCTCGGCCCAGAGCAGGAGAAGGAACGTGTTTTTAGTCAGTAAGAGACCCTCTCTCGCCTTATTCAGGGTGGGAGAAGTCATTTGGTGATTTTCATTAATTTTATTGCCTTCCCGGCTAAAAACTATAAAGATGACTAGTATTATTATTTAATAATGTACCTAGATAATTGGGCCTTGTCCTCCAAAGTTAAGTCACTTTTGCGTTCCACTATGAAAGCAAATAGTTTTTCTTCCAATCATTCTTTTGTTCAGTATTACAAGGAAACACGAAAAGATCTTCGCCTTCGTCCTTTTATTTTCTTCTTCCCAGTTTAAGTTTTCATGTTATATTCTTGGAAGCTCCAGTTTTATTCCCGGTCTGTGCGGTGCGAAACCTTACATTGAAGAAATGATAAAGTTTTGCGTAAACTGCATATTTTAGTTAGAAATTTCGCGATAAAACTTACAAAGTTCTGGCGGATCTGAATCTGGATGTAATGTTTTTATTTAAATGCTTAGGTTTAGATTTTTCATGGAAATAGGAGACAATTGAGATTACCATTTGTACAACAATATATTGTTGATATAAAAACAATATATTCTTTTAGTGTTCTTAAAAATTTAAGTCGACAAGCCTTGAGCTGAGTTGCTATTGATGCTGAAACCTCCTTATAAAAAGAGGTCCTTTGCTCAGCAGTGGGCACTTATAGGCTGATGATGATGTGTCGCAATAATCACCGCATCCTATCGACAGCAATTCTGCGCTTTGTATTGATATCTGGGACTCCCATAGTTACTATGTTTTTTCCTGTAAATTACCGGCATCGCCGACCGTAAGGTGATCCAATTGCTCGTTTGATAAAAAAATTAAACCGAGAATAGGTATAATATAATAAACACACAACCATTTAGATATTAATAATATAATTATGACATCATACAAAGGCTTCATAGCAATTTCTTTTATGGTTCAAACAAATATAGGTACTGTTATTTGATCGTACCTAAACAAACTGAAGTTGAGACTGTAACCCTTTGTGTTCCGTACATTTGAATTATTTAGCGATCCCCGGATTTCTGGATTATTAAGTTCCTATTTTACTTTGTAAGTTTGGGAACATGTTGTTATGAAACTCGTCAAACATTTGTTTTTGATTATGTAGATAAAGTATTTAAATATGTAAAGTAATTTAAATTTCTTTTTGAAGAAAGAAATAAGAAATAGGAATCTGATGACTGATTTGAAAAGAGTAACCATCGAGTTTCTTGCTCGTTCTTCTCCATCGGAATCTACACTTTGGAACGAGCAAATAGCTTCACTAAGAGGACTGACCGACAGACTGACACTTTAACTTCAAAATTTTGTTTAACGTTTAAAATTGCCTGTAAGGATCTATTTGGAATAAAAAAAATTTGACTTTTGACTTTTGAAGAAAATACAATATTATTAATACA